GGCTGTGAAGGCCATACTTCTTTCTAATAATCTATTAGAGCTGTAAAATTCTCTCAGTTTGAAATATATATCCAATCCTGATTCTTGAAAGAGAATTCCAAATTAAAACTTGTTCTACCATATTTATGTTGTTGTTTAAATACTATGTACATTGTTACTGTTGACATGGGTCTCCATGTATGATTTCCTCAAACAACAAAAAGTACTTTTGAGGCCCTTGTTTCCTTGTAATGATATATCTATAGATATAAATATCAGTAGTAGAATTTCTTGAGGTATGATTAAGTTCAGAAGAGATGTATTTTGTAATATTGTATAATTATGTGGCTGTAGTACCCTGCTTTCCTCTGATTAAATCATTTCCATACTCAATATAAATGTTTCTTCCTGTGTGAGAAAATTGGTTTATCCCATCCTATTTGCAAACTGGTGTTTCTTCCCTCTTTAACTTTGGTCTGCCCTGTGTCTTTCTGTTCTAGTTCTGTGATGGTCCCTTCTAAAGCCACTTCCCTTCCCAAAGTGTGTAGTTCTTCAAAATGGAAAGCGTGACTCTTCCTCTTCCATTCTGAGTAAATGTAACTCTGGTTTCTATTGAACGTTGTGGCCCTTTTCAAAGGAATTTGGTGGTTCGTCCTCATTTCACAGTGGTTTCACTACAGTTTTATCTACGGTCATCTTTAAGCCACAAATCTTTCTGCAGGAGTCCTTTGTCTCTTTACATATAATCTCATATAGTTGCTCCTATTGGCCCTCTCCCAGAGTTTCCTGTCTTTAGCATGCATTATTGTTCTGGGCCTGCCTTCTACTAATTACCACACCTAGTAAACATCACTGAGATTAGGTAATTCATTCTGGAAAGATTTAGAGTATGTCTTGAATTCTAGATGATGTTGAGTGATCCTCCCTAGTCAACATAGCCAGTATTCAGAGATGATTGGAGTTGTTCTCTAAACAACAGTTGGGATCTAAAGTTGATTCAGAATATGTAACAGTGAGAAATGTGCCTCCTGCTTTCTTCAGAGGGCAGGAACTCTGTGGCTCTCTCAAAGGATTAGAATGTTTACTGGTCCTGGTTCTATGCAAACTTTTCTTTACAAATACACTACGTATCAGTGGAATATATTCCATAGTTTTCTGCATTCTCTTTCTGTTTGAAGTCCTCAAAGTCTAAACAATATCTGATGGGGTTCTAATTGGGGCCTTAACTTATTTACATTTCACCTGAAATTAAAGAAGGTGAAACCTCTGTGCTCAGTAATAAACCTTGTTCATTTTATAATAATATGGTGATGGAAATTAGAAATTCAAGCGTGTATGTACTAAGAACAAAATATATTGACAATGCAGTCCCAGTCTCAAGCACATTATCTGTTACAACAAGTTGTAGCCAAAGGTTCTTTTCTGTGATTACAAGTATCTCTGGCAGAAGGAGGAGAAGTCTTTGGCTCTAACCCCAACATATTTAACATAAGTGATATATAATCTTGGTCATTCTGCTTTAGAAAATGTTGGGTAGTTGGTCCTCCTTTGATTTCTAAACATTAAATATTTTCTATCAACCCATTTTTATGGGGGAGCCATCATCCCAACACGAAGCTAACTGTAAAAGTGGCCTTTCAAACATATTTTGTTGTCCTGCTTTCTTAGAAACCTAATATTGCTCACCATCCTCTTGGTATTACCTTCTCTTATATCCATAAAGTGTTATCTTGCGTGAAAAATCTACAAGAGTAAGACATGTCAAATCTTGGCAATTTTTCTTCATCCTGGTAATGTTTGTGGCTCTTGCTATTTTCCTTTCCAATGCCCCAGTTGGCTCTCCTCCATCAGTGTTGACAAGAGATGTTTCATTTGTAGACTGTTCTCCTTGTTTCTGCTTCTCCATTTCTTGTATTATTTTTTCTTTCCTATTTTCTTCTTGTTGCTTCCTTTCTTTCTTACTCTTGTGCTTTTTTGTCCTTTTGCTTGTCTGTTTATTTTCACCCTGTTTCTCCTCCTTTTTCTCTCCACTTCCAATATCCTCTACCCCTCCTTCTTCCTCTCCCACTTTTGGTCCTATTGAAGTTGAGCCCAATGCCGGGACACCACGCCGTAGACCTCTCTCCTTCTGCCCTTGCTGTGCCCATGAAGGTAATGTAATTTCTTGCACCTCCATCCCCGTTCCAAACTGCAGTTGAATTTGTGTAGGGACACTAGTCAACATGTGACAGTATAAAGTACTTCACAAAACTACTCCTTTCTTTTCTTCTTACTCAGTAATACCTTCACTATCAAACTTATTTTGAAATGTCCCTGATAATATTATAAAATTACAATATTCCTTTTTCAGTTGTGAACTGTGAGGGTAACTGTAATCCCCCAAACTACTGAAGCTCTTTCTCTGGATTGGCTGTAGTGACAATAGTGTAACACTCTGAAGTTCCTGTTTGGCATGCTAGATATCCCAAAGGGGTTCTTGAAAAGTAGAGGAGAAACCAAAAACTGTATAAAAATAATGGGATAAAAAAATACTGTAGTTTGGTTTGGTTTGGTTTTTTGCAACTGATTTCCCTCAACTTTGAATGGTCAACCTCTTGACCGATGTAATCCAGTCTGATTTCCTGAAATCCATATCTTGCTAAGCATTTTCTCAACTTTATCTCATGTGGACCCAATATCCATTGTAGAGTTTCCATTTCCCAAGGCATGGGGCAAAGGGGTGGAATGTGACTGTTGTGTGTAACTTACGCTAACCACTCTATCTGCTTTTCATGGTGGGCTTTCATCCACTCCACATGCTTCCTCCCCACCTCCACCATCTCCTTCTGCTCATTGGCATTCGCAAAAGAAGTCACATAAAAGTTTCTGTAGGTCAGCAATAACACATATTTGGCTATTTTGTTTAGGAGCTTTTTCTTTAATTATCCTCTCAGTGGAAAGAGTGGGGAGGTTTTCCAATGCTTTTCATGGCTCCACCAGACATTTGCATGTATAAGCCTTTCTCTCTCTTTCCTTTCATCATGGCTATAAGGGCACTTGTGCAGAGATGCTCAGAAAAGCATGATTGGACTGAGCAATGGAAAGATATTGCCATTTACAACAAACTGTAATGCATTAGGATGAGGTGTTCATATGGTTTCTGTTCTGCTGATTCCATAGCTGTTTTAAAGCTTTGAAGGAGAAAGAAGCACAGGATGCCAATTCCCTGGAAGTAAGAAAGTGACCAAGAACCAGTGGATCATACCTTCAGTTCAAAAGTGTTGAGCAACAATGAAGTCTAGAGTTCAAGCAACAGTGAGGTTCCTGAAACAGTGTCTAGTTTCAGGGATGATTGTGTTTTCTCAACAGTCGCTAGAAATATGTCTTGCTGTAAACCAGCTGCCGTATAAATCAGCTGCCACATAATGTGACCTAATATAATGTGGCACATAATATAATCAAATAGTGAAAAACTGCTCCAGATGTAATTAGAAAACTCAATACAGAATCTAAGTTGATTATGACTTCAGCATTTTTCTACTCTGTATTGATGAAATTCTGGGCAAACACTATCACTGTTCAATTAGGAATCTGGGTCTACCTTGCTAGTTGACTGTTTCACTCCAAGTATTTCTTTTTGGCCTTTCAGTTAAGGTTAACCCTAACTGTACCCTGTTGAGGGCCCTGCATTTTTAAATATCCAGAACACCTCCTAGTATAGATATTGATGATATTTTCACTTTACTAAAACAGATGTCATATAATAGACCCTTGTCCTCATATTTTCCTTAAATTATACATTGGCCATAATGTCTGGGAATTTTAGAAGTTGCAGTTCCAACACAACTGGTGGGTGCCAGGTCAGGGAAAGTTGGAATAGATTCTCATAAGAGAGAAGGGTTATCTTTTGGATAGATGAGAACTTGAGAAACTCTTGATGGTGGTCTCTCCATTTGCCAGTTTTCCAAACTGTTTCTAGGTCAACAGCCAATAGAGGCAAGCCCTCCACAATCAGGATTGCCTTATGAGGACATTGCTTGCATTTGAATTGGTATTTTAAAAAAACAGGTCAAAAGGATTGTCTGTAATGATCTGCCATTGTATGTTATTATACATTGGTTGTGGATGTAGTTAACTAACTTGCAAAAACATAACGTGCCATTTAATGTGTCATCAGGGTTTGTTATTAGATCTACTGCTAGAAAATACTGTATATCTAGAAATTATTGTGATAGAAATCAGGAACTGGTTGCTTTCAGTCATTAATATAATGTACAGGCCTACAGAACTGATAGGGCCATGTCAACAACAATGTCCTAAATCAGCTGTGGCACAGCCCAGCAAGGAAGTGTGCTGAATTTGTATAGTGATCTGTCTGTTAATCACTCTGTAGCTGTGTGTCAAGCTGACCGCTGAGTTATGAGAACGGGTGAGGGATTCAAATGCTTTTGAGTATCCAGATCTCCTAATATCCATCATTCAAAGCTAGGCTGCTGGAAGGTCTGAAATTACACAAATTATGAAATACAAGATAATGCTGAACATAATATTGCCATCTTGACTCTTTATTCTGGGGGTGGGAGGCCTAGTGAGGGAAGCTAGATGAATGCACAGATCCAGGGGAGGTTTTTTTTTTTTTTTTTTTTTTTGTTTTTTGCCTGGTGATTCCCCCCCCCCGTTTTTTTTTAAAAAAAAACGGGGGGGGGGAATCACCAGGCAAAAAACAAAAAAAAAAACCTTCCCTGGATCTGTGCATTCATCTAGCTTCCCTCACTAGGCCCCCCACCCCCAAAAAAAAAAAAGGGAGGGCAAATTGGGGTGGGGGGGGGGGTTTTTTTTTTTTTTTTTTTTTTGCAGGAGGTTACCCTCCTAGTGTTAGAGGCAAACTAACAATCAGATCTAATGGGAGCGCTCTGGCAGCATCTCGCTCAGCTTTCTTTGCACATTTTGCCCCCCTCCATTTTTGTCCCTGCCTGACTGTTGAGCTCGTGAAAATAGCAGAACATGTTTCTGAGAGCTGACTCAAACTCTTCTCTTGGCAGGCATGGGGAAGAAGGACGACCCTAAGCTGATGCAAGAATGGTTCAAGCTGGTGCAGGAAAAGAACGCTTTGGTGCGCTATGAATCAGAGCTGATGATATTGTGAGTAAACATTCTATATTTTATGCCCAAACATAGAAAGGTAAGAAAAATGTTGTAGCACCAATATCTATTATTGCTTTGACTATGGTGTTGACATATTGCTTTCTGATAATAGTGATGAAAAAAAGTGAAAAAAAATGCTTTAAAGTTGAATGAAAAGACTTTTTTGCCAGTCAAAATAGACAGTACTGAGTTAGATGAGTTGCTGACCCCATGAAAGACAACTTCCTATATTGTCAATGGGCCCAGCAGTTCTGGACTATGATTCCTGTAATGCACTAATACAAAAGTCTGATTATTCAAAACTGCTGATCATTCAGTGGAGTAACTCTGCAACAGAATGATATGACAGTGTGGACTGTTTGGGTTGTAGGAAGATCATGATTTGGAATGCCCTTCTTCTTGTTAATAAAGATAAATCCAGCACAGCTGACAGATTCTGTCATAGACCTCTTCTTCTTTGCTGTGCTTATTTCTCTTTCCAGACTACCTTTCACATATAACTTTACGTAAAATTAGAATTCCCCAGAGTTTTAGGTAGGTGCACCATCTTAGTATCCTTTTGTTCTTCTGCCTGTATACATCAGGAGAAGTTCAGAAGTTCTCATGGAATGAGCTGCCTAAGGATATATGCTGGAAAGTTCTCAGTTGAAATGTCCCACCTATGTGTTTGCCTGATCACCTTAGATTAGAGAATAGCTTTCCTCAGTCCTCCTTTGTGATTTGTGGAAGGGAGTTCATCATACTGATTTACATTGTTAAAGATTATTAAGTTTATGCACTCATGGAGTTTCTTTGATCCTGGAAATAATGTTATGCCATAAAATTAGCATAGATGTTAAAACTTAAGGTTGTCACTATTGCTGAAGGCTTGCTTGACTATTAATCCTAAAAAAAGAGGGAAAGTATTGGAATACATCACTGCTTGAGCATCCTCAGGTTAAAGTTGGTAGTTTAGGTTCCTGCTGAAATAACCCATAACTAACTATTCTCTGTCTTTCTTTTCAGTGCACGCGAATTGGAACTAGAGGACAGGCAGAGCCGGCTACAGCAAGAGCTCCGGGAGAGGATGGCAGTGGAAGGTAAGCCTGGTAGGGATTTTCTTGTTCTCAGTAGAAACTACATGTCCCACATCCTTAGGACATCTTGTCTTGAAAGGTTTACTATTCTCCCTCTATCCAGATCAGCTAAAGACAGATGAAGAACTCTCAGAGGAGAAGAGGATCTTGAATGAAATGCTAGAGGTGGTGGAGCAGAGAGATTCTCTTGTGGCCCTACTTGAAGAACAGCGCCTTCGAGAAAAGGAGGAAGACAAGGATCTAGAGGCTGTTATGCTGTCCAAAGGATTCAACTTAAACTGGTCCTGAGTGTATCACCATACCTCGTTGCTGATCTGTGTTGTCCAGTTGGCATATGCCAAGTTAGATGGAGCTGCCTGGTTGGAGGAGACAACTTGGAGCAGGAACCATTTCAGGAATCTTGCAGCAACTACGTGCTTGAGCCAGGAGCTTCTTGCTAAGAGAGTTGGTTGTAAGGATCCAGAGTCCTGTGTGAGGCTACAGAGCCAAGAAAGAAGTAGTGACCTGAGATTGCGTGCCTTCCTTGAGGACCTGTGCAAGAGGTCAATAAGTTTTTTGTGATCTCTGAGAGAGACTAAAAATGAAATGAAAATATTTTGTGTGGTATGTTGTTTTTTAAAAAAGAACTTTAACCAATTTAGGTGGGCCCTAGCCTGTTCATTTCACATTTACCCAACTTGTGGTATTAATGGATTTGTTTGTTTAAATAACAAAGAAAAGGGGTGTCTAATACCTTCTGAAAAATCACCTTGCAGCAGCCTTTGGAAGAGCAAACCTATTCAATACAACAAAGCACACTGTGTATATGCTCTTCTCACCAAAGAAATCTGAAGCTGCCACTGTTGTCTAGGTATGAAGGAACATCCGTATCTGAACGTGGATGGGAAACCTGGAACACTAAGAACTTGAAACCCGGCTTCTCGTGACTTCTACAAAAAGCAAGGACAGAGGCAGACTTGTTTCCTTCCCTGTGGCCTCCACAAGTAGCCATTGTTCTGAACAGGTCCAGCATGCAAACTGTTTCCTCTTGACCATGAAGTGCTCTGGACTGAAAGAAGCCGTTTCCCCTTTTCTGTTGACCTTTGACTGCTCTATTGTGACCTTGATGACCATTTAGACACTGGAAAGTGCTAATTATCAAAAGATGGGTTCATTATGAAGCATTTTGTGGGATCTCATGGGTGATAGTCCCCCAGCTTCAAACTCTCCAAGAGTGGGCCCACGACTGTTCAGTAGGTTTTTGTTTCTTTGTGTCTTGGGGGATATTTTTTTCCTTTTCTTTTTTTTTTTTTTGCACGTCAGAAATGAAGCAGAAGACCTATCCTGGCCCTTTAGTCACTTTAGATCCTTTAATGTCCATTAACTTATTTTTTAATACTTGAAAGAAAAATTGGTTTTGTACCTTTTTAAGAAGTGAACAGATGAGTATGTGGTAAATCTGTGTGCCTGCCCTACCTTTCAACCTCTGTGTGTTTAATGCTTTCCCCTCTTCCCTGTATCTATTTATTAGAGTTATTATTAATGATATTACTGTTACACAGTACATTTGAGCTGCAGAAAAGATGTTTTAAGTTCCAGACTGTTGATTCTGATTTGGGCTTGTTCTTGTTTCTTGTTTAGGGGGAGGCCCTGGGAAATATGTGAGGAGAATTCCCCCACAGTGTTTTTTTATAGACTCTTGCACCCTCATGAGAGAAGGTTCAGAAGGAAAGAGCAGTGATAATTGGTTTTATTTCCTAGTACTTCAAAAGCTCTCCCTCTCGTCCCTGAATATTGGTAAACCTACAGTTTATTTACTGTTGTAAGATTTTTGTAACTAGAGTGGTGGCATTGCCACTTCTCATGTAAACAGCAAACGACAGTGGCTTCATAGAATCCACCTCCAAAGGAAGGATTAGCACCAATCTCACTGGTTCTGTCCCCAGACCTGTTTCTGGTTCGTTCAGGAAGGGAACAGTGATTCTCTCCCAGGGTAACAGCAAAAGGGACATAAAATAGACTCATGTCTATCACCAGCTCTGAGGTTCCATAAGCACATCATGTCCTTCACCATATGTTTCTCAAAGGTGCTGGCCTGCAGCTTGCAGAATTTTCCATTTCTATATTAAAAAATACTTTGACCCCCATGGGTTTCAGATCTTTTTTATTCACAGCAAAAGGAGTTACCGGTGCACTGTGTCCGGGAGAGAAAACGTCGGTCTCTGGATTAAGTCCCTTATGGCATCTTAATTTCCCAGGCTGAACAGAGAACAGGGTTCCAGTGCTGTGCTTACATCAAGAAGAGAAACTTCCAGCAAATTCTGCTCCTCCAGCATTGCAACAATATGAGAAGATATCCCTGCTGCTACAGTTGTAAAATCTTTCCAACATTTTTAGCCAGATGTTGGCTAGTTAGAGCAAGGATTTCTTTCCTGGTGTTGGAAGCACCTACCTCTGAAAGGGACTGAACCTCTTCTTGTCTTGAAAGAAGCCTTAATTTCTACTTTTTTAGAAGAAATTAATGTGGCTGCTGCCTTTTACCTTTAATCAGTAGGGAACTTTTTTTCCATGAAATACCTTGATGTTCGATTGTATATGTTCAAAAGTAGCATTCTGGCAGCTGTGTTTTAGGCAGTGCAGGGAGAGAAATTCATTTTTCCAGGAAACTGCACAAATAATTGCTTTCAAAGTATATATGCTAATTGTCACTTTAGGCTGAGAAGCAGCTGTGGCCACCTTAAATAGCTACTCCATGTAGGTGATTGAAAGGAGGGCAGAACCTCGGCATCTTTGATAGTTCTGTAAAAGAGGGGATCTCCAATGCAGTTGATCTGTCCTGTTCTCCTTTGCATCTGGCTCCCACAGCTCAAAGAGCAATGGGTTAGATTTTTGCAAGTATCCCACCTCATCGCCCCCAGTTACAGCAACAGATGACAGACGAAACCCTACCTCTCAAAGCCAGTTCTATCTGACCTAACAGATTGGAAACAATTATAAATTGTTTACTTTTTTTTTTTTAATCAGAAAATCCTATTTAATGTTTTAATGAGAAGAAAACTCTTCTCTCCTTACTCATTGGGATAAATTGATAATGTCCCTGACAGCTTTTAAGAGTTTAATGTGCATCTTTTCCCATCTACAGATAAGTAGTATGAAGGGGGATTTAATGCATCATATTATTATTTTTGAAATCAGTGGCTTTTAACATCATCAATTGTTGGGAAGGTTCCAGACAAGCCTTTATTTTTCAGCTTCATTATTTTCTAACCAAAATTTGACAGTGACGAAAGAAAGAAAAAGGAACTCCATGTGCCAAACCATCCTAGTTTTTTTAGGACCTTGAAGTAATATTGTGAATTGAAGGATTCATCCTGTGCAATGCAGGCTAATAGTTATGGTGCTTCCCTGGGAGAATCTCTGTACAAATCCACATGGGGGAGGAAGAAGCAGATTTGAAGGGTGGTTCTAGGTGCACCTAGAGGAAGCTCCCCTTATATTGTATTTTGGTTATTACAGCTGCTCTACCAACGTAACTGTTACGTTCAGGCAAGGAGCCACAGTGAAACTGTAGCTTACGCCTTTTACTACATGTCAGCCAAATCAAAGTCCTCTTCAGAGACCTGGAAGAACGCCTTTCAACATCTCGATCACAAATGTCCAATTCCAAGAGCATCATTCATGCTGCCTTGATCTCCAAGAATGGATATCAGGCAAGCAAAGTGACCTAAAAAGGGTACGAGAACATCCAAGGACAAAATGTTGCATTTAGACCCTTTCACAGAAACAGCTAATGAGTACTATGTACAACTATGAATACCAAAACAGTTACTTTGTTAGTCCTTAAGAAGTACTATGAGTACCTAGTACAGTGTTTCTCAACCTTGGCAACTTTAAGATGAGTGGACTTCAACTCCCAGAATTCCCCAGCCAGCATGATGAAGTCCACTCATCTTAAAGTTGCCAAGGTTGAGAAACACTGACCTAGTAAGTCCATTCCTTCCAGGTTTCAGTTCCATTCCAGCTCTTCCAAATGGCCATGCTACCTGAAGCAGACATCTTTATTCCTCCACAAACTGATAATTGCCTCTCTCACGGCTTTTTTTTTTTTTTTAGTGCAACAATAAAACATTGAAACGAAAGATTATTATCTCCATAAGGCAGAATTACCAGTGTTTAACTTCTCTTTGTGTCACAGCTGCAAAATGCGGAAATTAAGATATTTTAGAAGTAATACACATAGTGAATGCATCTTTTCAATGTGTTGAATTTTGGTGATGTGAAATGTTTTTGAGCACTGATAGCATATTTAAGAAATGGTATTTAGCCTGCAGAAAAAGTAGAAATGTTTTAAACTCCCCAAAACAATTTGAAGTGGCAGAATGTTGCTCGGAATAAGGGAATCTTTTTCAGAAGCAGCTCTTTTGGGAGGTCAAATCACACTTTTGAAAAGCTGATGCTAATTACTAAACATGCCATATGCTGAACATATTGGGAGATTGGAAAGACAGAAATATATTGCACTGAGACATTTCACACTAAGTAAGATTATAGAGCAAATAGGGTGCATATGCTCCTGCATTAAAGTGGGAAGAGATTTTTGAAAGACTTCTCGTGGGCTAGATGGAAAGCAGGTGCCTGTTCCTGACACCGAGGAAGAAGAAAACAAAATACAGGTTCCAGGTCTTGACATTAAAAGACTGAGAATGGAAATCATCTTCCCATTTGTCTTGCCATTAGCTGCTATATCTTGGCACCTACTCAGCTGAAAGAGGCAGTGTATGATTTATATGAACCATGGCTGCAATTCTGGATGAACTTGTAAAGAATTGGACCCTACCCTGTTTGGTAAAGTGTAGAAATCAGGCTGGTTTCCCTTTATTTTTTGATTTATCATGATGAGAAGAACAACCCTCAGCCAAATTAATTGTTTCTTCCTCTTTGGCTATTTGTGTCATGAGACAAGAACTGCCTTTGTCATAAGTTTGAGGGGGAGATAGCTGTGTCTCTCCAACTTCAGCTCTAACCTTGTTCTGGAGACTCAAGACCTCTGACACGAGATCTATGGCTCGGACAGCAGTTGCCCCAGGAACCTTAATCAGATTTCCACTCATAGCATTTCCTGTAATATTTTGCACTCACTGAGCTTATCTGTTGACTGAATTATCAGGGAGTTTTGTTTGTTTCAAACGTGGCATCTGGCCTTCTTTAAGATAGGTTGCTAACACAGACGTAGCAAGCATCCATTATGTCCCCTCTGGATTTTTAACCTTTTTAAAGTACATACAGTTCAGGAGCATTTTAGAGTACCTGCAGTGATGTTTAGAGTTGCATGATCTACTGCTGCAAACAAACAAAAAAAGTTGTCACTCTCTTTGTATGGATTTAAAACAATGTATTCAACAGTATGTTTACATTTGGCTTCTCTTCAGAGGAAACTCTTGTATTCATTTTCTATCCTCTTGTGTAAGGAAAATGAAAATGCTGTGAGTTTGGGAGTGTTTGCAATAAAAAGAAAACAAAACCCCCAGAAACAGCCTATTCTTAAGAGGCAATGAATTTCTCTTTATGCATCCTAAGTGGATAGAATATTTCCTAATAATCCCTACAACTGGGACATGTAATAGAAGTTGATAGGCAAGGTAGGCAGATAAGAATATTGTTAAAGCTATCAGACAGTGTTACGTCCTGATGGGATTGCAGTAATTTAATTTTTAAATACATATATAGAGAGAGAGAAAAACGTATGGGAAATCTAGTCCCAATATAGGAAGTTTGGAGCAGATGGGAACTCTGGTAATCAGACTGTTTTATTGTTGGTGTATGTGCAGTGTAACAGGAAATTATGTACTGTATTTTTCATGTCCAAAATTCCAGAGTACGCAATTCTCCTTTACTTCCCAATACGATCACATTTCATTCTGTACACCCTTAAGCATCCTTGTTTTGTTGGGGATGAGATTTTAGCATCTCTGGTCGCCAACAGAGTTTTTTAAAAAATAAAGTCCTTAAATTTTTTTTTCTTATTTTGTTATGGTGTATGATTTGCTTCATAGCAGATTGGGGAGTTAGTTCTGCTTAATTTGGCTAAAAGTCCTAAAGGATGGCTTTTCCCATAGCAATCATTTATCAAATAGTAACATACTATGCACATTATGTATCACTTTTGGCCATTACATCCTCCTTGCAAAAAAAGTTGTAATTCCTTATTGTGTGGAAAAGTACTAACTTTGGTCTGTTCTTAAGACCCTTAGCAAATGTAGATCTATGATCTGGTCAATTTCTTGCCCACACTTGGCTTTCTTGAATCACAGACAAGCATGGCCAACCTTGCAAGGCATATAATAACCAGACAGAAGTTCAGTTGTGTTATCATGGTCATCATCATTACTTTTTTTTACCATATCTCGTGGATACCTCTGAACCTTGCAGTATTTATGTTGCAGAAATTATAGCTTTGGAACAACTGTACTATTAAATAGGCTGAAATGATTCCTTCAGGCCGATGTTTCTCAACCTTGACAACTTTAAGATGTGTGGGCTTCGGCTCTTCAAGCCAAAAGAACTTGGTCAGTCTCGGTACAATGCAGGATTCATATTCATTCTCTCTCCTTTTCTCTCTCTCACATTTCTTCCTGGTCACTCCCAGTCTAATCAGTCCATAGCAGTGAACATAAAGCCAAACTTTATAAATATCGTCTACAATAAGAAGGGAACCCACTACAATCATTTATATCATCCATAAATAGCAAAAATACCAGATTCTAAACATTCTTAGCTGGCAACAAAGTATTAGGACTGGACAGCAATCTTGAAAATATGTTCTTAAGTGGAGAAGGAGAATGTAAGTTTTTAACTTCCTAAAACAACCAAGCAGGGAGCAATCTGAATTTCGCGGGGGCAGTGAGGGGAGGAAAAGTCAGATAGTTGGGGCTGAAGGGGCCTTACCTAGTTATTTCCAAATAGGTCTACCTCTGGAGCAACACCATAATAAACCTTTAGATTTGAGGAGCATGGATGAAGAATGGCACCGCACTGCTTTACTGTCATATCTCACACTGGCAGATTATTATATTCACTGAAGGCCAACCTTTCATTCAACTTCACAATTGACATGTAAATAATACTGCTATGCTGAATTCTACCAGATTATAGTGGAACCATATGAACCAATATTGTGACCTTCTCTAAAGCCTCAGAGTTGGAAGACTTGTAAATTAGGTTACTCCATTGGAAAGGAAATACGGGTCCAAGGAACCTTGTGACAATTGGGTTGAAATGCTCCTGTTTGAGGTTTCAGGCACTGTTATGGAATGGTGTCCAAATCTATTTTTTGTATGAGCCACTTAACCTATCATCAGTGGAAATACGTTTATGCAGATCAGAAAGCATTGAAAACAATTGTAATTGACTTAACAATCCAAATGATAGGATTTGCCCTCAAATCAATGCAATAAAACTAAAAAAGGTCTGTTACCACATAATATTGCAGGTATTAGAGCTGGTAAGTCAGGATAGAGAGTGAATTGAGATGAAGACCCTATCCACTGACCTGCTACTAGGACAGTTGTTTCATTACATCTAAGTCACAGCTTTCCTAAGTAATTTACCACCTATGTACATTCTTGGAGGAGATTCTCAAGACAATGCATTGTAAATGGGCTGCATTGTAAATGGGCTGTGACATCTAGTCTGGACAAACCACCATTACAGTCCTCACACTATGAATTGCGCTGAGGACCCTTTCAAAGTGTGGCCTATAGGGTGGCTGCCAGTGGGTCAGATGACAGTTGAGCAGTGGGGCTAGCATTACCAGGAGAGCAGTGTGCAGGAGGGAGTGGTGGATCATCAAGCAGTAGTTTCTTCTGTGATGCTTACATATCATGGGCAAATAGCAGCAGCCAGTGTCAACATCTGTCTCATAAACTGGCAATGAATGTAGTCTCAAGTGGTCTTTTAAGTTCACCCTTCATAGATTGAGAGCTCCTCTGGGGAGTTGCTGGTCATAAGTGTAACTAAGAATAAGAAATGTTCCTTAGGGCAAAGGTTTTTCACAAACAACTACAGTGGTACCTTGGTTCACGAATTTAATTCATTCCACATTCTGGTCACAAACTGAATCAAATTTTCCCATAAGATTCAATGGATTCTGAACCATATATATATATATTTTTTTTTTAACCACAAAAATATGAAATAAAGTACAGTACAGTACAGTATGAAGAGACAGAACACTAACCTTGCTTGAGGCGACACCAAAAAGCTT